AGGAATGTGAATTTGTTTGCATATATGTGCTGTCTGATGTTGACCTCACTCCCGTTCTTGCATGTCTTGAATCCATATTTCACTTTTCAATGATTATCATAACTTTTATTCTCACTTTCTACAGTAATGAACAATGTGTGTACATTAGCCCACACTTAATCTAAGAATGCGAATGTTTGAATATATGTGAATTGGGCCCAAATCTGGCTAGGATTGGATAAAATTGGGACTTGTCTCTACAGTGATTTGATGCTCCTAAAGGTTCTTTCCATAGTTCTAATTCCTCTTCACATGGAAGGGGTATTTCATGTGTGTAGTGACCATAGATATGACCATTATGTGGGGGTATTGCTCATTTCAAGAAGGGGATGTAAGGTGGCAAGCAAGGTGTTCCATGTTATCTCCATGTCTTAGTTCTGTGTTTATTCGTGGTTTGTTTCCATGTTTGGATGTTAATATGAATCTCTTACATAATACCTTGTGGATGCTGAAAAAGAAGGCACTTTACACGAGGAGAGTGTGTTTTCTCCAGATAAATAGGTCATAGAAATATCTTTTGTGCATAGCGCAAATTGATGTCTTTTCTAATCCTCGGATGAAGGGCGCAATCGTCATTTGTATCTTGACATAACAAAAGATCATTGTTTAAATTTTTCTAATTGTAAATATGTTTTTAGAATGCTGGAACAGGGTAAAATGTATTTGTGGGATGAGAGTCTGGACAGATTGATGCCTGTAGTCATGAAAGATTGATGCATGTTACTATGTTAGTCATTTCTAAAGATGGATCAATATGTTATGAAGTTAGAGAGGAATATCTTGACTTGGAAGATTCTGGGCAGCACTTCTTTCTTACGTTCTTTCCTTTTCTCACATTTATTACACTCTTATATTCTTCTGTATGCCTTAGAATATGAAGTACAGCCCCTCCTATAAAAAATAATCCTTACGTTAGCGGTCAATGCAGCATGAAAATGGCCGGAGAAAATGATACCTTATCCCCTAAGAAAGCGATAGATATTAGTTTGATTGTTACACTTGATAAGTATGAGGACTGCAGAAAAACTCTAGTCATATAAGCCTCTTAATTTGGGACCTGTCGCTCCTAATTGAGCCACATATCATACTTCAAATTTGAGATGTTTGAATATCTTGCATAAATTATTAAATTTTCTGCATAATATGCCTTTCTTGCAATTGGGTCACCTATCGAAAGAGCGATTTGTTTCTTTTTTGTCTTGTACCATCACAGTATTAATTTCTTGCAATTGAATTTGCTGCTTAATATCTTGCTTCTTTCTTGTTTCGGTTGTACGACCTGTCACACCTTTCCTGGCCCCATTCATAGGATGTATGTTGGTTGCAGATTTTTATCCTTGTCTGAACTGCCAATATTTCTCCTAACAAGCATGAACTACAAGGCTTTATTTTGATTCCTAGTTTGATTCAGTAAATGTAACAACCATTCAACTATCCCTCGTTGAATTTGGATGGAGATAAAAATTACCATCCTGAAGCTATATTGGTAAACAAATTATCCATTAGTTCAGTGTACTCTTGTATGTATCTGACGAACCCATTACATGTTATTTTACCAATATCTTTTTAATTTATAA